ATGAATTACTAGTGAAACTGTGGGAGCAGGAGACTGTCCCAACCGACTGGAGCCGCTCCGTTATTGTTCCCATCTTCAAAGGAGGCTCGCGTTCGGAATGCGGCAACCATAGAGGAATCAGTCTGATCTCCATCGCCTCCAAATTACTCGCCTCCATAATTCTTCACAGACTGACTGGCGCTCGTGAAAGCCAGATTCGTGAGGAGCAAGCCGGGTTTCGTCGGGGTCGTGGCTGCATCGACCACATCTTCATCTTGCGTCAGTTGTTGGAGCACCGTCACACATATTGGCGGCCCACCGTAGTCGTGTTCCTCGACATCAAAGGTGCCTTCGATTCGGTTGATCGATGTGCCCTTTGGAATTGTCTACTCAGGAAAGGTGTGCCCGAGAAATATGTAAATATTATCCAAGCATTATATGCGCGTAGCACGGGCAGAGTGAGGGCTTACGGCAAGCTGTCGCCACCCTTCAATATCTCCAGCGGTGTGAGACAAGGATGCCCGCTGTCACCTTTCCTCTTCAACTTCGCTATTGATGAAGTCATGAAGATTGCATTTACAGGACATGACTTGGAAGGTGTGGAGCTACTCCCAGGAGAACGACTTCTTGACTTGGAGTATGCAGACGACATTGCCCTCATCTGTGACAGCTCCCAGACGTGCCAAGCCGCGCTGGACAGATTAGCACTGGCTGTCAGCCGCTTCGGGCTTTGCTTTGCACCATCGAAGTGCAAAGCGTTCCTCCAAGATTGGCAGGGATCGCCTCCTGCGCTGACCCTTGGTGGGGATCAGCTAGAAGTCGTTCGGAAATTCAACTACCTGGGAAGTTGTATCAGCGCCCTTGGGATCGAAGACGAGATCACGAACCGTATAGCAAAAGCTCGAAGTGCTTTTGCTAACCTTCGCCACCTATGGCGGCGGCGCGACATTACTCTCGCCCTGAAGGGTAGAGTGTACAATGCAGCGGTACGTTCGACCTTACTGTACGGTTGCGAAACCTGGCCCCTAAGATCGGTGGACATGAAGAGGCTAGTTACGTTCGACCATCGGTGCCTTCGCAGTTTGGCTCACATCTGGTGGGAACACCGCGTGAGTAACGAGCGTGTTCGACGCCTTGTTTACGGCATAGAAAAAGGAACTGAACCGCTCAGCACCGTCATTTCACGCACCAGGCTCCGATGGCTGGGCCACGTGTTGCGCATGCCAGCCCATCGACTTCCACGACGTGCGTTGTTTGCTCACCGGGGATGTGGATGGAAGAAGAGGAGGGGTGGCCAAGCGATGACTTGGTCAAGAGGAATGAAGGCCCTCACTTCTGTGCTGGCCTCGGTTGGAGCGTCACGGCTCCCTGGTTGGGGTCCGAAAGACGGTGGCTGGATACACTTGCTGACATGGCAAGGAGCCGACCTCAGTGGCGTTCGTGCTGTGAGTTTCTTTGTCCCTCCCCATCCCTTTTAGCCTCCCCCTCCACCTACGATCTCATTTCTTAGCGTAAAACACAATATTTTTTTTCTTTTTGCCTAGTAGCCGGCTGGTAGCTTACCGGAACGATGCCTATCCGTTGCTGGTAGCTCAGCTGGCATGCAACTTTTGTATTTATTTTCCTTTTTCATTTATGTATTGCGGCACAGTAGCTGAGGTGTTTCCCACCTCTAGCTGACGTGTATAATGATGATGATGATTACATTTCCAGGGTGAAAAGCATAGCCCGAAACTGGCGACAGCCAGTACTCATCTGTCCAGTGCCGCTTTGTACGTTTGGGAGCTGTCACAAGTGAGGACAATGTCGTCCGCATGCTCCAAGTCAAGAAATCTTTCACCAGAAAGTAGCTCCACACCTTGTAGGTAGTGTCCAGCGAGTGCTGTTTCCATAACTTCGTCAGTGGCCAAGTTGAAGATGAAAGGTGACAGTGGGCAACCTTATCTCACACCGCTGGTGATATTGGAGGGCGGCGACAGTTTGCCATAAACCCTCACTCTGCCCGAACTATGCGCGTACTGCGCTCTGATTATGTTGACGTATTTATCGGGCACACCTTTCCTCAACAAACAGTTCCAAAGGGTACATCGATCCACCGAATCGAAGGCACCTTTTATTTCGAGAAACACGACAACAGTTGGTCTCAAATAAACATGGCGGTGCTCCAACAATTGACTTCATGGTGTGGTGGATGCAGCTTTGATTTCGACGGAACCCGGCTTTGCTCCTCAGGAATCTGACTTTCAAGAGTGCCAGTCATCCTGCGGAGAATGACGGACGCAAGCAATCAGAGGCAATTGAGACCAGACTGAACCCCTGTGATTGCCGCATTCTGAACGGGAACTTCTCTTGAAAATTTGGACAATGACGGAGCGGCTCCAGTCTATTGGAACAGTTTCCTACTCCTGCAGTTTCACTAGTAACTCGTGTAAATCATCTACAAAAGCAGGTCCTCCGAATTTAAAGAGAGCTGGGGAGGGTCTATCTGCCTGTGCGGCCTTATTCACTTTGTACAGTCTGATCTCACGTTCGACTTCTGTACATGAGGGCGGGTCCAAAGAGAGCCCAGGAAGAAGGGAATCCAATGCCGGGAAAAGAAAGTGATATCTAAGATTGGTTAAACTGCTTTGCAAAGTGTTCGGCCCAACGCTCCAAGCGTTTTGACAAGCCGTGGATCGGCTGTCCACTCTCGTCGCTATGGTCTCACTGTCCGTTTCCCGTATCAGAGGATGTACGATTGGACCACCAGACTGAGCGGTCTCTTTTCAGGCTAGCACGCAGTTTTGCCGTGAGATTTTTGCCTCTCGTTGTAATCGCTTCCATGCGTAATAGGTCGGTGAGCATCCAAACGTTCCAGAGGCTGCATAGAGACCCAATGTCCAGGTTGGCAATTTGATTTGCCACATGAAAGATGCCAGCTGATGGTAACATCTGGCAAATATGCGACCAGTGATCTTCAGCGGTGCTCAGTGGGCGCTTACTCAGCCCGGATGCCAGCTTACTTTGTTGCGCATTCAGAACACCTGGCTTCGCCAGTTGGCTAGTGTCTGTGCACTTACAGCGACGTTGCGAACGTCCGCCGAAACTCACCTGAAGGTCGACACACCCGAGAACGTGATCGGAGTCCACGCTCGTTCTCCAAATCGAGCGACAGTATTGGACACAGCCTGTCTCTAGCGGTAACTGATCGCAATGTGATCGATTTGCGTCCATGGCTGGTGGGCGCCAACTTCTTCCTCTGCGAGTGCTGTGTCGAAACTTAGTGCTCGCGAGAAATAGACGAGCATCTTCACACAGGTGTAGCAACCGCTCACCGTTATCATTACGAGAGCCTACACCATGTTGACCGCCCAGATAAAGCTCATCAGCGGACAATTTTCCACCAGCGTGTCCTCAACGATGATGTGCCCAGACGAGTACTAGGCAGTGATTATCAGGCTAGTTCCTGAGAACAATAGATAGCACTGAATGAGTTGCGTTGGCTTGGGCACCTACTATATATTCCCGGTCACCGCTTATCGAAGAAAGTCTTGTTTTGTTGTCGGATGTAGGGTGGTGCAAGGCCCGAGGTTGGCAAAAGTTAACTTGGCAGTATAAAATGAAGTCACTGACTACCAAACTGGGTGCTGTTGGTCCATCTCGCCTTCCAGACCGGAGTCAATGTGACCCACCTTGTGCTCGGTTCGAGACTTTACAGGACATGGCCCTCAGTCGACACCAGTGGCGTATCTGCTGTCGTCTCATAGTCTGACTGCTTGGTTGAAGTGTGTTTGGTACTGTTATCTACGGGCTAGTGGCTGCTTACAACGCGGGGCATTGATAGCCGCAAGGAAGCTGTCTCATCGATGTCGCCTTATGTTTGCACGATATCCAACTGTTTGTGACGGAATGTTCTTCTCAAGCTGTAGGCGCCTTGACCTTGAGTGTTTGTTTAGGGCGTTAAGGTTTTTATGGTAGGTCCCCCTTCTCTCCCTCTTATTATTCTTCGTTCTGTAGGTCACCGTGGTTTTACGGTATCGATGGATCAGTACAAATGGGTGAGATAACTATGTTATTGTTGTTGTTGATGATGGTGACCAGATCACAAAAGTGGTCTATGGGATTGTCTTTATGGCGTTGACAATCTTCGACGGACACAGCTGCCTTTTGGTAGAGAGGCAGGGTGACGAACTTTGCATCGAGTCATAGCTATTGTCCGAAGATACCAAGAGGCTGTCAACTCCCGACTACCACTGGCAACACATAATTTCCCAGCTGGTTGCAAATCGAATTTCTAATACTATAATCAGAAATCGGTTTCTCGTATCAGGCCATATTTCACTGCACCAGGCCACACATGAAACGTGAACTGCATACTCTTGTTAGATTATCTTGATTGATGGCACTCTTACTTTCAGAACTACCTCTCCAAGTGGTTTGCCAGTTTGCTTAATCGGGCAGCCGCATCACCCAAGAGGTTATTATTTTCTTGTTGGCACTTGTGTGGTTGTACAAAGCCCAGGCCATGTATGAACAGAGCAGATGTACGCTTCTTGGTTAAGGGAAGAGTTTACTACCCTCTGGTGCGACCATTGTTACTGATTGATCAAGAAAGCTGACCGATCTGCACTGAAGGAATCAATAAACCGACCGTGTTGGACCACCGATGCTTACGCAGCATTATTCATCTCTGGTGGGAGCTTAGTAATTGACACTGAAGTTCGTTATACAGCATTTGACAGGAGGCCCTCCGTCGTCTCATTGAAACACCTGTTGAACTCTGCTATCACCTGTTCGGTCATGTTCTTGGCTATGCGATCAAGCTGATTGCCTTGAAGTGTCTAGTTTTTCAGCGTTGTGCTTAGTTGGGTACAACTTCAAGAAAGCCGTTTAATATCATGGTAAAAAAGCATGGATACATATTTTTGATGATTCTTACTCTTAATCTCCACCGACGCTCAAAATATTGACATAGAGGCTTATGATGCAAACTCTCTCTCCTGTGTATTTAATCTTAACTGACCATTACCATTCATCTTCAGGGACAACCTTCGTTTGTGCGGATTTACCAGTGGCGCGATGGGCAGTGTGGTCAGATTGCGAACAGGTCATTCTATCGGGCAGATGCGGTCCAGCTTTTCTGGAACGACCGGGGCACTGATTTACTTGTGCTCGCTTCCACTAAGGTGACCCCTGTTTTTTTGGATCGTTTTCGACTAATTCAGGTTCCATTCTTTAGCACTAAACTTGTTATCAGTTTTATTTAGTTTTTATCTTACTCAAAGAATGAATTAATCAATACGTCGATCCATTGAACATGTTAGTGTCCTCCTTCACATGAAACACTCGAACTCATGTTAGCGATAGGAATGTGGCTCGTACGGCAGTTGACGCATATTACCACCCACCCTGAGCCAAGAATTAAGAATTGGTCCATTTTAGGACCTCACCTAGTAGCTCTGACTTTTTAGGATTCAGCTCTGCTAATATCTTTGTACGTCTTTGTCAAAATGGAAGTGTTCATTACCGCCCCCATTGGACAGAGAGTAGTGTCGTTTTCCTTCAAGCGATATTAGCCAAGCATCTTGGGGTCATCTATTCCCGCGAACGCCTTCTCACCCCGTGCCACCCTTACTATTGACGCATCATTACGTCAATTTAGACAACCTTGACGGAATATTCAGTTTGCTTTCTTTCTTTTTATATTTTCAAGATGAGCGACGAGAGTTATTATGGTGACCAATCCCTGTATTACCTGACAACCAGGAAATCCACGAACAGTGCTGTCGTCACTATGCCCCGGAAGGGTCCTATCTATCAGGTAGCATGGAAACCAAGCCCTTCGAACTCAAACCGAAGGTCCTCGGAGGAGTTCTTCGCAGTGTGCCACGGAGGTGGGTTATCCAGCGCTTCCTACTGGTTTGTGCAATTGGATGCATTTACTTTTCCCGGGGTAGTTCTTTGAAAGTCATGGCTCACACAAATTGCACGATCTCTAACTATCGCTTGAGTTCATTCGCTCCGGTTTTTTTAATCACCGATCTGCCTCAAAGAGTACCGCGGTTTTTTACCAAGATCAGTTTTCCGCAATGTACCGATACTTTCCCTTCTGATTCTCTTTCATACTAGAGCTCCACTGTTGGGATGCCGTATAGTTTGGTTACACCCATGGACATTGAGTAGCTGGACCCCACTTTTATGGCCGAAATTCCAATGATTTTACACTTCTATTTCCCGGTCTTCAACAGAGTTTCTTCATTGTTTCCCAAACCGTTGCCCTTTCTTAGTGACAGTTCAAGTACAAAATTTTCAGGTCCTCAGGTTTGTTGAATATTCGCATTTCCTCTCAGGCAACATACTTACCTTTCTTTTGTTGCCTCATATCTGTGCTTGTGGCTTCTTACTCTTAAGGTGGTAAGAACTCTGTAAATACTGTCTGATGTTCTTTTCGATTACCCGTTGGCTACTTACTGCTGACTAGTTTACCTATTCACCACTCTCGATAAGTACTTCGCTTGCTTTATTCTTGTCGCTTTTATCTGCTTATTTTCCGACCCTAGCTTAAGCTACTGTACCGTGCTGCTAGCACCTAACTATAGCAGATTACCTAGCCCAATTTCATCTCCCCAACGTGGTGGATATAATCGAGTCCGCACAAAAATGAGAACGACATTACAGGTTCCTTTGAACAGTTCTTCCAAGTGTTTTTCTAGCTAACGCACCTGAATCTGCAGCTATCTTCTTCGATGGCTTTTGTAAGGAAGGCAAATTTTGTGTTGATGACTTTGTATTTTTTACCTTTTGTTGCACAATCCTGCACGAGGCATGATAATATGTCTTTCCACTTCGCCTCAACAGTGGTCGTAAGCCTGAAACTACGGGACAGAATACCACGACCAAAAGTTTGCTACTGTTTGCTACTGCTACTCGCTTGGTGCGGTTTATATTTGGAAAACGGCTAGATGAATCCCAAAATATTGGGGAGCATTATCGCACGTAGCTTTGCGGCGCTGTGAGCATGACAATGACGAGAGAAGTTCTTCAACACTTGATGAACTGCATTTTTCATAACAACGCACGGAAATTTCAGCCTACCTACGGCGTTCCAGGACACCACAAGCGAGCAATCAGACTTCGCTCACTTGCGGTAGCAGAAATAACCACTTTACGGATCCGTACCTCATATTGGTGCACACAGAAGAAATTTCTTCATGCCCTCTGCCTACCCTGAATCAGGCCATCTCATCTAGTGACAAGGACCGTGCCACCCCTCACGTTTCCCTTTTTGGTGTGATTTCATAATTTCATTGATGAAACAAATCCCGTTGCTCCATCGCTTTAGTTCAATATTTTGTCGTGTGCTAACCCTGTGAGGAACCCTCGAAGACAAGCCTGTTTGCCAGGCTGTTTCTACTTCGGTTGAACAACCTGTATCACCGGGCTTTTTCACAAGGGCCGCCGTATCCTCCTTCGATGGCAACACGTTTGAGACCCCAGTATCGACAGGACGCATACACTCTGGTCGGCCGGTGGCGGAGTGGTCTGCGCACCTGATTTGCAGCCATAAGGTCACCGGTTCGAATCCTCGTAGGGGTGGGCGCATTTGCGGTATATACAGCGCGCGCGGCTGGTGGTGGTCGCGGGGCATCGGAGCGCTGTTACGGCCTACAGCTGACACATTATTTTATTATTTTTGTAACATTTGTTTGATAAAGTAGTGTTCACACTGATTCTCCTTTCATTTTCATGTTTCTTTTAGTAGGATCACTTCAAAAGTGGTAGTTGTGTGACGGCGGACTACTTATGTGCTACTATTGCTGATTGTGATGAGGTCTGTTGCTTGCAGCGGTCGGATCACAAAAGATTTGTAAACCGACGACTGCGTCAAGCCGCTTGGTGAACAGGCATTCTGTGCCCCGATTTCACTACCCCATTTAAACTCTCATTTATTCTGCTGAGGACAGCTGATTGATGGCTAGGGATTGAAGACGTCGGATCATCACTGGACTAATCTCTACTCATCGTGCTTGTCTATCCTTGTTAAACGGTTGGACTTACTTATTGTTTGAAATCATTTCATGAACGATTTTGCCTTTTCTACTTGTCATGTGATGTGCATCCTAGCAGGAAATGCTGGATTCTGCTAGGTGCCTTAACGCTCTTGGTTTCTTCACTCAATCCGATGTTATTCCTCTTTGTAGTACCTGGTCAAGTACCTCACTTTTAGGCACTGCTTACCGTCCTTTGGGTATTATACTTTCATATCGTTGACGGAGTGGAGATTTACAGGATTACTGTCGTTTCATTTCCTCATTTGGTCTTGCATTTTTCGCCGTTTACCGATTTACTGAACAGAGTTCGGAACAACTTAGGCCACCTATAATGTCGCGCCAACTGTCGTTTTCCACGTTTTCTGCTCCCGACTACTTGGAACTCGAGAGATTCAGACAGCTCTGTTCTTGGCTCGGAATCTTTTGTCACATTTGCTTGTTCCATCGGTAGTTCACTGATAGCTTTCGCTTGGATGCCCCACTTTCTACTTGATTCTTCACGAAACTCGTCGTTACTGTGAATAGCTATTAAATCTATTCTTCCCGTGTTCGTAATCTGGACAGGAAGGGTATGCTAATACAACGCACTCGTTTCCACTGTGTAACTCAGATACGCCCTACGGCATCATCATGTTCACTACCGCCGTATACATTCTATTGATTGGCTACATTCACAAGCGTGTGCTCGTCTTCCGCTAAACCCATCATCAGTTGAGCTAAAGTTCATGGTCGAAGTGTGGCACAACACCTGTTATGATATAATTTGGATACTGTTTGTTTGACATGTGTTGATTGGCGCTACTTCGGCTACGAGCCAGATACTGAGCGTTAGTCCCGCACTTGCTAGTCTGTGAAGTGCGCTAACTTGCATGGCCTTACTAGAAATTTTGCTCCCTCCGAACATTGCATTCCAGTACCGATCTGTTTTTCCCGATCTCCTTGTACTAAAGGTTCCGTGGTTGGCTGTCGGTGCCTTTTCCGTTTCCCAATCCCCATACCTACAGGTGAATTTTAGACACTGACAAGCAGTCCATACGGTTCTTAATAATAAAAGTATCAGGTCTGGACCACGGGTTTAAAGAGTCCAAAGGAGGACGAAACCGGCCGCCTATTGTTCTTGTTGAAGGTTAGGCGCAGTGATCGAGGTGATCGATGCATAACAAATTGTTGTTGGAATCGAGTTTGAATACCCTTTTCAAAACGCACGGCAGTTAATTTCAACGAAGTATTGGACACTTGCTACATTCGCGTAATACCGAATGTCTGTCTACCTTTGCACGTCATCTACTTACTCGAAGTTAGTACTATTTCTGTGGGTGAATTCGATTGTAGGTTAAATACACGACAAGGGATTAAGTCATGCTTTTGTTGTTTAACTCAACAACTACAAACGTGCCTCCTGCCGTACTACCTCAGTTCTCCCCCTCCCACTCTGGCATATTCTTCTCGTTTTGAGGCTCGAACTAGGGATGGACCAATATGCTACCCGTTTCCACGATCATCGCACATCCACTATAAGTGGTCGATCGTAGTTGTATCAGCCCCGGCCGTCACATCACTATAAAGGTTACTGTAGCGTTTAGACTCACGAGGCTTTTCCAGCCTCACTTTAGGAACGCCGTGATATTTACTTAACGGCCATAGGTGTTGTGCGCAGTGCCACTTTATGATCGGTGTCGCTATTTGATGATCTTGAGATGTGCGCTGCGCGCTAGCACCTTCAGACCGTATGTCCCTGAGCCCCGGCGCTGGCACCGGTATCGGTAGGGACTGCTGAGTGAGTAATACTGAAGTATACCAGCTGATTTTTTCAACAATCTATTAGGCACGACATTTTATCGTCTTTTGAACTTGACCTGCTTACATCGTCTGGGTCACTTTTCATATGCTTGCCGACTGCACTGTGCGTTTCTCATCACCACTATCATTGGATGCGAGAAAATTCAGGTTGTGAACTTGACCATATAACTGACGGATATTAAGCACTTGATCGGTGAACCTGGTTGTGCTGGTGTATACGCCGTACTTGGATCAAGCCCTCGAAGCTGGCTGCATTAGCAGGTAGAGGTTTTGTACATCAGAACACAATCGCAAGGCATCGCTGTTGTGTTCCATTTTCTGCTGCTATCTGTAATTCTTTCTTTCTTTTTACTACTGTCTGCTTACTTACTGTCTGCTTGTATTCCCCCACAGCTCGTAATTATGTTTATTATCCAGGCGTCTCATCGTAACCAGTTCCACCGCACTTCTTTATCCAACTTGGGACCTGAAAACACTTCCGTGTTATTCCCTTTTTTGTGGCATCTTTGCAGATGTTCCTGCCTCTGTGACCGTGTTCGGTCTTGAGTGTGAACCTGTGTTCGATTTCGGTGCTGGGTCCTGGAACCAAATTCACTTCAACCCACACGGAAACCATATCCTTTTCGCGTTGCTTCCCTTCGGTACCTGTCCCTGTTCTGCTTTTCTCATGATTGCTTCTGTATTTGATGCGGCGCTATTACTTGGGCTCTTCATTCAATCGACTGTTTAACACTAGCACCACCCACAATTCTATACCTTTTTCGGTGGTTTTTCTTTATCCAATTGTGAAAGTAAGAACAACAAGTTGTTCTCGACTTTGCGCTATAAACGCGCTTGTAAAGGTTTCATCGGATAACTGAATGCATTTATAGCAAATTAACCGCAATTCGATTGGACGATCACCTCAACCAGTCGACCTTGAATAAATAAGTATGTCACTCGATGGATGTTTCACAATAAAATAAGTAATCGGAGTATCCTCTTCGTGATTCAGTTTGTACCTTTACTGACAGTAATTTTAATTGCTGTTACTCGTCACTATACCCAAAGCAACTTATGTGTTTGGACTAAACCGCCGCTTTAATGCATTGCAACTGGGATCATTGAGCACATAAGCAGATTCATCCTTTTTTGTGCAGTCCAGAAGGAAAGTTCCATGCGGTAGTCCCAAACGGGGTCATGGAAAACAAATAAACAATCGGTATACAAGTGAAACTTTCTAATGTGAAGAAGATTTCTGGTGGAGGTGGTAGTGGGAATATGATACCGGAGAGGAAACTCCCCAGGTAAGCTACGGATGAATGGCTTATTTTGCGCGTGACAACATGCTAGTAAAAAGAACACGTTGTTGTGACGTTGCCCTTTGCCTCTGCCTCTCTGCGCTACCAACCAGCTGGGGAAAACAAAACGCTGAGCGTGCTAGGCCGAAGTATATTAGGCACAGAACAGGTCACATGCGCTTACCTCGCTGAGGTGACTCACATCTGTTGTCTGATTTCCTCAGCTTCCGGTTTGACCATGACAACGAGTCTGTCATCCGCTCACGTGATCCGGCCAATATCGCCCCGCTAGTGTGCATCATCGTAGTCAGCTGTTTCGCCTCCGTGACATTCAGCTTCCTATTGTAAATATATGACGGTTTTAATAAATGCGAAGGTATCAATTAATCAAAATTCTGTGCGATTTTACCAGAGAGGAGTAAAATTAGGTAGAAAAATTAAGTCTGCAGATTCTCCTTGAACAGATACGCCATACTTAGAAAAGTAATGCCTCAAACAGACTGTCATAGAGTGCGATATACCCGGTGAACATGGATAGTGTTTTATTGTTTGGTGGTTATTTGAGGCAATTAACTTTTTTCTTTTGGTGCTCCAATAGTTCCCTTCATTTTTCTGTTCGGAGGATATTCTATATCATCATTACATGTTAGCTAAAGGTAAGAAACGCTTCAGCTGTGCCGTAATACAGAATGGTAAGGTATATGAAAAATACATGCTAATCGCTACAGAACACAAAATATAAAAAAGCAAGGCATCAGCAATACGCCGGGACGCAGTGCCGACGCTTTGCTACCGTGCAACCACCACCAGTCGCACGTGCGTTAAGGATACTGCGAGAGTCGCCCGGTCCATTCGCAGGCTTGAACCCTCGCCCTCGGATTACAAGGCAGGCTTATTATCCCTAAGGCGCAAAATATAAAAAAGAATAATTTAATGTACTGTTAAGCGTCCGGAATGAGATGCTGGTTGGAAGGGGGAAGCTAAAGAGCAGAGAGAGAGGGGGAGTCAAAGAAACTCACGACACAAACGCCATTGAAGTCAGCTCTTTGCCTTGTCAACAAGTGTATCCAGCCAAACGTGTTCATCCTCTTTCTGGCCCCAAACAGGGAGCCAAGTGGCTCCTACCGAGGCCCATTTCGAACTAATGGCCTTCATTGTTCTTGAGCAAGTCAACGCCTTGCTTCCTTTTTCCATCCAAATGCCTGTCATGCAAGCAACACACGTCACAGGAGTCGGTCGGTGGGAATGCGCAACACGTGGCCCAGCCATCGGAATGTGTTGCGTGATATAACCGCGCTGAGCGGTTCACTCGCTCTTCCTGTGCCAAATACATGATATCGAACGCGCTCATTGCTCGCGCAGTGCTCTAACCAGACATGAGCCAAGGTGCGAAGGCACCGGTAGTCGAATTTTATGCAGATACTAGGGTGGCCTACCCTTATATGGTTTATTTCATAAAGGAGGTTGTTTTCTCTCTGTTGCTTTTCCAATCGTTTAAGTCGCATCACCTTGACTTGCCGGCCGCTAGCCCACCATTTAGATCCTAGCAGTCCCAGCTCTTGGCAACCACTCTGCTTCAGTATTTATTCGGCGGATGCCCCAGAATGATACGAAGCATATACACGGACTTTATTTCCGCTCATCGTTCAACTTAACTGATTTGGCACTCATTGCCTTACAGGGCCTGTACGCATTACGCTTCTTGCTCAGTTCCGTTCCATTGCATTGTTCTGCGCTCAAATGAAATCATACAGCCATCAAGATCGGAGTCTATTGCAACTAGTTTTGAGGTTTAGTTATGCAAATAACTATTGCTTTTTGTCGTTCAGTTCGTAATACCCGCATTTGAAGCGCTAGCTTGTGTGGCATTCGTTTCCTATCTATCCTATATTCCTTGTGAAGCTTGTAAGCTGCATCATTTCTAATGTTTTTTACGTGACTCCGGTCATTTGTACTGCTAAAGCTTTAATTCACATCATCGTCTTTGACCGACTCATTCTTACACTGATTCTTGCTGCTGGTCTTGGTGGTATGAATGGGGATATAGCCGTGTGGGATTTCGATCGACACGAGTTACTTTCCAGATTCAGTACAACAGATGTCACCAACATTTCCTGGCTGAACGATGGAGAGCACTTGATTCTCGCCACCACCACCCCGAGGCTTCGCGTTAACAATAGGTAAGTCTTCACTGGTCATTAATGTGTGTTTTTGTATTCCCAAGTCACGGCTTTCTACTGGTTCGCTTTTTTCTTCATTTGTCACGTTGATCGGCTTTTTGTTTGAACTTGTCACCCTTTGAACTCAATACGTTAATGTTGTATGGAATGCAAATTTGTTTCCTCCTCGCTACAATCATTGTTCACAGCAAATAACCATCGGGTAACCTATTCTGTACTCGATCTGTCCCACTTTATTCATGTATAGTTACAAAACCTGTCTTTTTCTAATTCAAGACACGATGCTACTATAGATCTCACACCTCAACCCAAGATTAATGGTTGATCTCGAGTACTTGTCACGATTCAGACCACGCTCCCGTGCAACACTCACTCTTCTTGCCTCGACTGAGCGCCCAACTTCGAACACGTCAGCCATTCTTGCAATCTGCGAAGCGGTAATGTCTGTCTGAACTGGAGCGTCTGTTCTCACCGGTGAAAAGAGTGACCCAACCGAATACAGGTTGGAGTTTCTTCCCATTTATGATTCAGAAGCCATCCGAACCCACTCAGCTCTAGGTGTATGGATAGTGAATACACTTCTGGGGCTTCAATAGGTTTTATTAGAGCACTAGTGATAGCGCCGTTGTGCCGAGTCGTTTACGTGGGATGATTTCTGGAGTTACGCATTTCTCTCATTCTGTTTTATTTTTCACAGGATTTTCTTATTGAACGGATTTTCTACCCAGTGTGCTGTATGTTCAACCGTTCGCAGCCTATCGTTTCCACCTCGTCATTCGGCATTTTTCGCGTTCAGCTATGCCAATCCTTTTCGGTCTTTCCTGTAGTTTTGTACTTCACTTGAAGCTTTCACCTACTTCAGTGATAATCATGTGCGACACATAGGCATCTTATGACTGCAGTGCTGCATTACGTCTGTTTCCTTTATGCTATTAGTTTCGGGATATGGCATTACAGCGGTAAAAAGCTGTACTTTCAACGCGTTGCACGTCGTGCTGTTCCCCGTCCGGCCACTATGGATTTGCCAGCAGCCACTGAGCACGAGTTGTATCGGATACAAGTTGTGCCGCAACTAAAGTTGCCACCGGCCCCGAAACCAAAAAAATTCAGCACGGTGAGTGGAATTCGCTTTCGATAAGCCTTATAATAGAGATCTGATTTGCATGTTCTCGGTACCCCGTGGTAACGTGTCATTTATGCTTTTTTCCCAGTCATGCGCTTTAGGATCTCCTTCATTGACTGTGAATATCTTGTAGCTCCGGTTGCACTTCGAATTCGGCCTTTCAGAGCCTGATCAAGATTTCCACCTGAAAACATGTTTTGACACTGCTACGCTTTCTCATTACGTTGTGTAGAGTTCGATGTATAGACTACCTTTTCTATACTGATATGCTACATTTTTATTTTGTTGTTCGTGATACAGTGTGTTTCGTCCATTTCAGTTATATGCACATCTGGTTTGTATGTCAGTCGATCCCCCAAAATAATGGCTTCCGTGTTCTAAATCGTCGGTCGTCCTATAGTGTTATTCCCTTGTTTAGTCATTGTGCGCTTTTGAAAAGTGGTACCGTTTAACGTTTACAGTGACCATTTGCCTATAAGGTCATTCTACATCGTAGTGTGTTTTGTGCGTGTTTTCTAAAAAAACGTGTGCCTTTTAGTAATACTGATATCCCAGGTGAATCTTTTGGCGTTGTTTGTACCTCTCTTTCTTTCCTTCTTAGGCACATGTGTTCAGAGATTGCATACAGTCTCCATGAAGGTGATTTCTAGGGCGAATTTCGCCAACTTCTGTATTTATGCATTTGTTGTGCTATGCCATCGGTTAACAATGTTGCAGGCCGGAATTTTTTATCAACTACTCTAATACTCACGTTAATATCTGAAATGTATGATGGTACCTCCTTTAGCCTTTATGCCATAGATCCAATCTTTTTGAATTCTCTGCATCAGGAAAAGCTGAAAATCACTTCCAATATCATCTATTCCCCAGTTTCCCGTTGCTTCGTTAATTTTTTTATACTTATATAGCCACATCCGCATTATTCTTCTTCAGCAGCTTGTGCCAACACATATGCTTCGAGTATTAGTGTACAACCAACGCGGCTTCGATCATGTTCACGTCTCTCCCAAGGCGAATTCATGAGCATCCTGACCTCCGCACAAGGCTTTTGCATCGCTTCCTTAGTTAGCTACCACTTCTGCGCATTTTTACCGTATAATCACGACTTTGACACTATTTAATCTGGTAGTCATCTTCCTTCACTTCTTCATACGTTACACTTTTGAATTCCCCACGAGCTGTTTTGTTTTATCACCAGTGGATTATTAACGCATTATCAGCTACATTTGTTCACCTTTTTCTGACTTTGGATTACCCTCTAAGTACTGAATTTATTCCAAATTTATATCTAATTCCCAAAATACTGCGCAATTTCTCCACTCGCACACTCTCTCACACCTCTAGTCTATAATTTTCGAATGCCTTTTTCTTCCTAGTCCGTAGAATTACCTGCAGCGCCGAAAAAGTATGTCCCACCGGCGTTGCGTAATCGGTCCGAAGTGGCCAAACAGGCAATGGCAGCAGCCCACATGGAGGACACTATGAAGCTGACGTACAGACCACCAATTGCCTCCACTCTTCCCATAGGGTTGAATTCTTGTAAGTATCACTCCACCCATAATCTCCTTTACTGATCCACTTTTGCATGTTCAGTCTTTCAAAGTGTACTTCTGTTCTCAGCGTATGCCACTTCCCATGGGCTTGTCTGCTGCCAACTACATGCGTCGTACTGTTGTTCACAGGGATTCAATTCTGTGCACATACATGCCTGTAGGGATTGCCTTAGATCTTCTTGCCTTCAATTTGAACTGCTTGTGACAGGTAAACTACATGTAGTCCAGGCAACCCGACGCCACTAGACTGGTTATGCTTCCAAAAATACGACCTAAACTCGTCTTGATTCGGCAACCTGGAATTCGGGATCGTCACATGCTTTTTCGGCATCATCATCGTCAACATCAGTACATCGGCCATTTGAACTGACGCTTCGAGGTTGACCTACGGAATGGTGAATATTAAGAGGGACAATAGCGGGACGAATCGTAAAACCTTAATGCCCTTAGCAAAGATTCGGGATCAAGACGCCTAAACCTTGTGAACAACATGATGCCACAAGCGGGTAGCTATCATGCAAAGATCAGGCGTCGAGACAGTTTCCTTGCGGTTTTCACTGCCCCATGTCATAATCAGCCATTAGTCCAGAGATAACACAGCACCAAACACACTTCAAACAGGCCGTCCTGCTAGGAGACGACAGCACATGTTATTGGTGCCGACTGGAGCCATGTCCTTTAAATTCTCGAACCAAGCACAAGGCGGGTCACGTGGACTCCAGCATGGAAGGCGAGGCGGACTAACAGCACTTATTTTGGTAGTCAGTGACTTCATTCCCTGCTGCTGTTAACTTTTGATAACCTCGGACCTTGCGCCACCCTACATCTGGCAAACAAAACAAGGCTCTCCATGGTCAGCGATGACCAGGAATACTTAGTACGTGGTCAAACCAGTGCACCTTATTCAGTGCTATCTGCTGCTTTTAGGAACCATGCTGATAATCACTGCTTAACACTCACCTACGCACATCATCGTTGCGGACACGCTGGTGCCATCCTACACCAGCAATGCTTCGCAGACAGCGATGATCAAACACTTGAAGACGCCACCGATCCTCAGACTTAAGGTGCCAAGTCTCACCCCCATGGAGCAGGATAACCCTCACTGCGATCTTGTACACACGGTCTTTTGGGTCAAAGGAGACCCGTTCTGACATCACATATGTCGCAGATTCAAGAAGGCAGCAACACGTGAGCTGACTTCAATGCTTATGTACCCATCGTTGTTGATGCAGCAGTTAAAATATGTAACTTGATCAACTACTTCGAGTTCCTCCTTATCAAAGGTTAAGGGGTCATCAAGCGGCTTGTGGCCTTGTAATAGCACTTTGCATTTTGAAAAGGCGAAGCGCATACTAAATCATGGGACCATTCTAGAGAGGTTTTGAGTATTTAGTGCGCCGTCTCGACATCGTTGAACAGCAAGGCAATGTTCTCCGCGTAATAAAGATCAACTCGCTTTTCACCAGGTAGCATTTCAACTCATGCATCGTGAGATTGTGCAATTGGACACTCCCCTGTGAAATGTATGAGGAAGTTGAAAAAATGGGGAAATCAGGCAACTCTGACGACTGCCGATTATTGGAAAGCTATCCGACAGGTCATCATAAACCTGTTGGAGTACAGGGCTCATAAAATGTTCACATCTTTCATTGGAATACCTTTCCTCGCAAGTATTTCGAGCAGAATACATCCATTGACTGAGTCGAACACACTTTTGAAGTTCAGGAACACAGCTATTTTCGGCCTGCGGTACGTGTAGCGCTGCTCTAGCAACTGCCGCAGAGTGAATATGTCGTCTAAATAGTCCCGTCCTGGGCGGGGACCTGCTTGCTCTTCCATACTCCGGGATTCCCGTTGCGCAGTGAGGCGACAAACGAGGATTGAGGCCAGTACTTTTGTCACTACGAGCGTCAGACTGATCTTCCCGTGGTTAGCACAGTCGTTGCGACCGCTTTTCTTGTATATTGCCACTATAATCGATTCACCCCAGTTGGCCGAGACGCTCTCTTCCTTTCAAACCTGCTCGAGCAGGGAGGTCAGTGCTTTGCAGAGGACCTCGCCACTATCCTTGAATAGTGCAGGTGCGAGGGAGTCCGGGCCTGCAGCTCGTAAACGATTAAGGACTGTGATTGCGTTTTCAACATCACCGGTTATAGCACATCCTGCGCCACCCGTGTATGAAGTGGTTTGGAAGCGGAGTGCTAACTGAACTGATCTTGAATGTGCTCCGCCGAACTAGCCATACGTCGTTGATTACTGTGAATCAGTGCACGCGCGCTGTCTGATTGTCTCGCCTGACATCAACATGACGACCATAGGGTTTATATACTTATGTTAGCGTACAAATCCGCAGCTTCAGACCCCTTTGTTTTTTACTCGGCGGAATTTATTATTTGTGGGCCCATTGATCCCGCCGTACTTCAGATTTTAAAATTTCAAAGCAAGTTGAGTGGTGTTCTCCCAGAGTTATATTGACTTATATGAGCCTCTATATCGGACATTATTTTCTTGCAACCGCTATTTGAAACCGACTCTGAGATGATACCGCACCTGATTGTGATTCAACCGCATGAGTGTGCATCGATCATTTTAACACGTAGTGCGGGCTCGCGGAGTCTACTAGTCAGGTCCTCATTGTTTTTATAAGCAATTCGACCATTACGTTGATCATTATTTTTATCCCTCACATCCTCCCTAGAATTCAGCTTTTAACATATCCCCCTAAGAAACTTGTGTTTTTCACTAGCGGGTTTCGAGAACCCACTGCCTCTCGTGTTATCACCCAAACTTTCTTCGGTCGACATCACAGTGACTTTGAGCGACAGGCGAATGAGGATAACGCCAACGCAGACTATGTTTGGCCATCTCGCAAATCAAGCCGAAAACGTTTTGAAGCCAACCATTCATTCTCACTTTATCATGCGTTCCCGTTCCACGTTGTGATAGTGCCTTCACAGCCGTGCCTTACCTTTGCACCTCGACTCGCACTCACCCGATGGGCATGGGATCCACTAATTCTAAGGCACATCAACCGAACTGCATCCTGCCAACTTGAAATTTTCTATTCATAATCAAGTTTCAGTGGTGTTCTATTCACATAAGCGAAAGAGTGATGCATTGAAGGAACCAATATGCAAAATCCGTACAAATGTTTCAGCGCCTAAAGTAGAGATTACATGGATTGTATGAGGTAGCTAATCGTGCGCAATTCGTCCGATGATTTCCCATTGAGCGGACTTGCAAGGCTTGTGTTACTGAATGGGAAAAACAATACTTATCAACGGTCTAAACTCCAATCTAGACGACAAAGGAAGCGTAACTTTCTTTCTACCACGATGATTTGCGCAAAGGACGTCACACGTTGTCAAAGGGCTTGACGCTTTTTGTTTCAGTCTACCTTTTGGCACCGCGCGAACCATTCCTGTAAGTAATGCTGATTTTAGTGTATATAAAGTGCCCCCGGCTGAGGCGGATGTTGCATTCATGATGCTTCTTCACCGCAGTTGGGCTAAACCAACTTACACTTAAACTAGGTCTTTTTAATGTGGAGAAAATTCGTCATATTTTATTTGGTTTGTTCTGCCTACCTGAAAATCTTCGATTAACTTGCACTCGTTGCTTACGCTTATTGTGCTTATCTTCGTTAACTTTATCGCGTTTGTGGCATTTTTTGAGTAACTTCTGAACATTTTGTAATTATCGTGGATTCGTCGCTAACCAACTTACTTCATATGCTAATTTAGCGAAGAGTTATGTCGGCATAACCGTATGCTTTAACAGATATATTTTATTTGATAATGTCATTTCAAGTGATTGGCTGTTGTTTGTTATCCCCGGTGTGGCTGCGCTTGGTGTGCCTACATGTCTATTACCAACTACCTCGTTTATACTAGCTCCAGGAGACAGTTGGTCGTTGCTGGAGGGGACGGGGTGTACGGTCCTTGTGGCCCTGCTAGGCTCGAATAGTGGTTCCATGCACTCAGTGTGGAGCGGACCACGGTCTAACCACCGCCTTGTGCGCCCTTGACTCTCCAAATACAGTGTGCTTGTGTTTGGCTGTGAAGGAATGTGGGTCAGCTTTGTTGATGAAACGTGGCTTCCATCCGAATGCCTCCCGGTCTTATTCCTTCGGGTTTACACTGGATATGGGGTATGTGGATGGGACTTCGGGTGGTGCAGCGCAAGCCACGCATGGTCCCTCAATAGGCACAGGCGTCCTGTGGCTGTCCACAGTGACAGGCAAATCCGAAACCGGATGCCGCCAACCATTATGTGTAAAATTATTTTTAAACTCCTTTAATCAACGAGAGTTTCTGCGCGGACTTACTTGGAACCTTAGTGTCCACCTGATATCTGAATTACGACATACGATCAGAATTTGCTTCATGCTTCATTTTAAAGTTCACTTTAGTTAAACAGCTATGATCGGTGCACCGAAGCGCGCTGGATCCGGTTGGCAATGCTCACGTTACCACGATAAAACCGATGACAAGGAAAAGGAGGTTGAATGCAAAGAAAACGGAATCAGGAAAGAGGGACTCAAACCTGATCAGGATGAAATAATGCTCAATAGCTAGCTGTAAGAAATTAAATGCAGGAAGTCCACTGACTGCGCGACTGTGCCGTTTCTGATATGGCTTGCAACCGCTGACGTAGTCATCTCGGTGCTCCCTTCCACTTACAGGTCGTGCACCAGCATGACCAAGTCTCTCTGTCAATTTCTTCATGCATTTATGCCGCATCATCGATTGGCTACCTCGCGGTTTCGCCTTACGGTGCAGCAACGGCTTTTAAAGCACGCTTTGGAAGTTTGTCAACGACATACGGTGGACATGAGTTAGCCAGCGTAAGCGGTTATGGTTCAGAAACACCAGTGAGGCCCCAAAATTCTTCTCGCCATAGCCAAATGGCTATTCTCGGCATTTCTCATTCGGTGTTCCTCCAAACGTTACCGATATTCCGCAAGTACGGGTGGTCAAACAC